CATATAAAGAGACACATTAATTCCTATATAACCCTCCCTCTACAGAAATACAAAGGAAATATTGTGCTTTCTTGTTCCCATGCCTAAAACAAATGTACATGTAATATTGCATTTAATGACCCTAGCTTCTCTTGATGGTAACATGGAGTATAAGGGTGCATGGATTTTGAAAGGAGGAAACATGCCTATATAGCAATCAACGCATGAAAGGTATCCCTCCCAGGGATTGAGAGTTACAACTATAAAGTGGAACTTTAACTGAAAAAAACAAATTTGTTTTTATTTTTACATATTCTGACATTACTGAAGGCTAAAGGGAGGGTTGGAGCACATGGATATGACAGGGTAGTACATCCTGATTCAACAAATTATGATAGTTATTCCACATAGGATTTGGGATTGCCTTAATCTGCCAGAGGGTCAGATGAAGGGTAGGGGTGCATGGATATCAAAGAAGAGAGGTTTTGTGACTTGGGACTTTACAATAAAATTTGAACCAAAACCTGAACCTTTCCTGACAACAAGAATGCCACTGCAGACAGAATCACTGGTATTCTGGGCAGAGCAATTCCATTAGGCCAACAAAATAAATATGTGTGTTTCCAACCCATCAGAAACATGCATTATTGGAGGGAGGGGCTTATCCAACAGCCTGGTTCACATTCAAAATTCTGCTGAGCAATATTTTTCTGTAAGCCATTAAACTCTGAATTCTGTGCATGAAGACAATTTTAGGATTTATTCAACTCAGCTAACTCTATGTCTTGCAAAAACTAATTCTGGTAAAATAAGAAATTATGTATAAAATCGCTGTGCCTGATTGAATTTGATTTGTTTTCTAGCAAAACATTGCTTAGTCCATTTAATTTCCTTTGATTCTAGGATAAACATTTCAACAAATTATGCTTTGGGGACCAAACAGTCTTTGGAAATTCTGCAAAATATTATTGCAAAAAAATGTGATGTAAAAATTTAGGCAAATATTCAGCTCCAATTAGGCCCTAGAAAATAGACCCAAAAGTAAGTGGAAATTAAACAACACAAAATATATGTATCAAGATTTGCAAACTTAGCTGAACAATAAAATTTTCAATGATTAATCCACCTAATGAAACCAATATACTGGCCATTAACATTAATCCTAATCAAATCCATGTATCAAGTGTAGAGTATATACCATTATGAAAATCCAGTGATTACATGTATGTATTACCCTTATGTCATAGATCTTTTTGTTGTCATTGGCTTTTGTCATCAACAAGCACAAAAAAAATTTTGTATATATGTTAAAGGAAGCCAAACAAAAACTTAAAGGATTCACTAAGCAGTAATACAATATTTGTTTATTGATTTTCTATGCAATAAGACCCCAAAAAATAGAGGCACATTTATTTCCATGGCAAATCACCAAGCTTTCTGTATTACACTAATTACCCAACCTAAACTCTTATATTTTGAAATAATGTAATTTTTTTAATCTGATATAACCCATGCAGTACATGTACATGACTCTGGTATCATTTGTTAAGGTCCATAATACCGAGTTTATTTACAGGTCAGTTGTATACATCTATTTATACTGTCCCAGGCTTCAGGTAGCTTCAAGGTCATCATTTGACCATGACAATGCTAATGGTTTCTGCTAGCTGCTGGGTTACCTGTGTATTGAGATTTTAGTGTCATTAGGTTACATGTACCTGCAGTAATTCTGAAATTTAAAATCGTTCATTTGCAAATAAAATCATAGACAGACTGAGGAACTTAAATAAACTTAACAGCATTCATGGCATGAACATTTCAAAATTATTCCAACATTTTTACATGGGATATTGTATTGCCCTCTGTGTGTCCCTCTATCACTTAAATCACTACATGAAAGTTCACAAAACACTGTTGTTACATACACCCTGAGAGTAACCATCTACAAGAGTGGTATCAGCCTTGGTCACATGTTTGAGGCAAGATGCCTCAGTGCTAGACATTATAAACTGTCACACTGTAGACATCATAGGGATATGACTGACAAATTGTTAAAGCTACATTAAAAATCTAAACCACACAAATCACAATATATTCTATCTGCCTATTATTTTTTTTAAATCTGGTACATCTCAAATCTCAGCATTTTAATAAATTTTATGAAATGTCTTGTGGATTTCTATTTCTGTTCTCACCAGACTCACATTTTCTTATAATAAAATGGACATGATAAATTAATGACCTGAACAAATAGCATTAAGAATGTTGAGTCATTGCATTTTTCTACATTTTCCACAGTGACCTGAGAAATAAGTTTGATACTACTCATAATCAAATTATGTGTATGTGTTTATCCTATCTCATTTAAAGAAAAACTTTTACTCTACCATAACTTGTTCTTGTACTCATTTTAACACCTTATACTCACTATCAAGTCAGATTCAACTGCAAATATAGCCCTTATCTGCCATTGTGTAATAAGCCTGCAAATCAGGGTCTATGTTGTTTATTCTACTAATTACTCTGAGAAAAAAAACTGTATAAACCCTGATGTGCCAGAACATTATGCAATGTCAGATCTGGTTCAATGCAATTTGCAGCTGCACTCAAATTGTGAGTATATACAGTACTTAGCTAAACAATTTGAGTGCTCTCTTACCTATAGTATAATTCTTTGTGTTTATAAAGTGCTATAATTCAGGACAGTGTAACCTGACACTTCATTCCTTGTTTCTTCTTGGGTGATTGAGAAACAGGCCTGATACTCTCATTTTGAGCAGAAATTGACACTTACCCAGAAAGGAATTTTCTAATGGATCTGTTCAGTTTGGAATTTTGTAGTCTTCAACTTAAAATATTTCTCTTCAGACAAGAAAATAAATTCTATTTACCCCTGACGACACCACCCCACCCCACCCAAATCCCTGAAATTTTGACATATGCCAATGCTTAAACATCTAAATTTTATACAAATTGCGTGAAATATCGTATATACAGACAGCATATCCCATGTACTGAATTATAAGACGAATCCAACTGCAAACTGCACTGCCCAAGATCTGCCGTCGCATCATGAGCCGGCAGATCTGGGTCTGTGCGGTAATGTTTATTAAGAGTAATAAGTAGAACAAACAACACAGACCCTGATCTGCAGGAACATTATGCTACGTCAGAACAGGATTTTTGCTATTTGCAGTCTGACTCAAATTATAAACGAGTGCATTAAAGTAAAAAAAAAATTAAATAAGACGAATCAAAAAATGATCTTTAAGTGACTATATGTGCAGTAACTGAAAGCAACAATGCAACTTCCTAAAGCAACAACATCAAACATAATTATAGCTTCTTTCATTGTATACTTCACTTACCGATGCGCCAAACACAACAAACACATGAGTGGCCCCGGCACCATCAAACTCGAGGCCCTCTTTTAAGCGAGCCAGAGGGTCGAGTGCTTTTGCTGACATTTTTTTAAACTTCTGGTACAGTTTCGGTTTTCACGAGTGACTGTCAGTCAGTTTGAGAATCGAAATAAGACGGACTACCCTTAAATTCTTGGCACCAGTGGTGACAAGACAAATTCTACCAGCAGTAGGAAGTTTGACATGTACATTCAGTCACAATTCAGAACATACACCACGGAAAATACCGTAACGATGGGCCGATAGCTCAACGGACAAAGTTGGCGATATTATAAAATGAGGCATGAATTTATTGACGAAACGAAGACTTGTATAACGAGAAAATGTTAAAGATTTACACAAAGAAAGAAGTTGTTAAATGGCAACTTATTTATGGCAAGAGGTTTAAATATTTGTCTCCTTATCACAATTGAAATAAAATTTTCATCTGTAATTCTGAAATAATTGGACCTATTTTCGCATGTGAATAGATGCAACTAAAAGTAAATGTTGCCTGGGGCCCAAAGGAATCTTAGCGCCCAGAGATTTCTGGGGTCCGGGGAAATTGCCCCGTCCGTCCCCCACCAAACCCACACACGTTAGTATGCTACTGTATGTTTTCAAAAAAATTTCAAATGTATATTGGTTTTTTCCACATATGTGAAATAATCATTTATTTCACATATACAAAATATAATTTAAATCTCTTTTTACGTATGTGAAATAAATTAGTCAGTTTAAATATGTGGAAACGAAATTTACTTTCATTGCAATGTTACATTCAAACACGTAAAATATGCCTTTATTTCAAACAAGTTTAAATCAATGTACATATGTAAAAAAAAATATGAAATAAAAGTTTATTTTACATGTATATACTTTTTTCACACATAACAAACAGTACTTTACATATAGGAAATCAAAATGATTTGCATCTGTAATAAAGAATTTCTTATATTAAAAGATATGTTTTCATATGTAAAAAAAATACATTCTTTCACGTGTAAAATTATTTGTACATTTGTAAAATATCTTTTCCATATACATGGAAAAAGAATTATATATATATATATATATATATATATATATATATATATATATATATATATATATATATATATATATATATATATATATATATATATATATACATTAAACAATTTATTTTACATATAAAATATAGAATTTCGCGTATGCAAAAAATAAATTACATAAGAATAAAGAATTTCACATGTAAAATAAGCCATATTTAACATTTATAAAATTTATTTTTCCACAAAAAAAACTAAGTTCTACATATGTGAAATAGTATCGTGTGAAATAGGAATGTAGCTAAAGATGGTTACTATATTTATTATTGCGCGCGCGCGTGCGTGCACGTGTGTGTGATTTAGATCTTTTAACGTGGCTTTAACAATTGTAGTCATATCGCTAAGATGTTTGAAATGTGGCAGTTTGTTGAGAAGTCAAGTACTGGGGGATCATGCCGCACATATGTGGTATCATGTTCCACCCAGTCATATTATCATAACACACGGCCCACCAGTCATAACACAAACCTCTTAATGCTGAGCGCCAAGCGAGGCAGCTGCATGTACCATTTTTATAAGTCTTTGGTATCGCTCAGCCGAGGTTCGAACCCTCTACCTTTCGCATCCAAGGCGGGCGCTCTAACCACTTAGGCCACAAGAGCTATTGTTATTGTTGCTCATTGTTGCATACCTCCCCCAGCTTTGTTGAGGTGGGTTGTATGGTTTTGGTTATCGTTATCTAGAGGTGATCGCCGACGTTGTAATTTTCCGGGAGCGAGTAAATATCAGTATAGAGTGTGAAACTTATAGATGGAATACGTAAAGATCTAATCAGATAGGGCCTATTTAACAATATATAACAATAAAATTCATAAACAATTGTGATAATTCATTACATTTGAAAGATAAGCTTCTTTGAATAGAATTTTTCAACGAATTTCAAAGACAAACATGCTTATACAAATATTCGATACGTTAAGCGATAGAATCAATTCATCCTCAAATCGAGTAAAATATCGAAATCATTGCATTGTATAGATATATAACCAGATGGTTCTGGTTCAGTCCAAATTCACTGCGACTGTTCTTTTGACTTCGTTGTGCCTGTAAGTCTGAGTCCTTTCCACTTTTCCTTTTTCTCAGATTCTCAGGTGTCTCGCCTCTTTCGGCCCTTCCAAATTTGTGTGGTCACTTTGGTTTTGTAAATGCGTGATACGTCACGTGAATACTTCTTGTGGAGCTTTCTCACCATGTCTATTCATGCTTTTACCGCCAGAATTGTGTTCGTAGATTTTTCCAGACATACAATCCCCTTGGACCCTAATTATGGGTGAATTTATTCTAAATTCAACCCGGAGTCCTCTACTCTTTATTTTTTATTTCAGAAAAATGGTGTCGACTGATTAAAACTTGCGATAAGCACATTTAAACAGAGAGTTTTCATGCGGACTCACACCCCTCCTTTATTTAACGTAACCAATCAGAATTAAATATATTCCACACCTGAACTAGGCACAAAACAATGCAGTTCGTCTGACAACCTCAGATTACCCAAAACAGATTCCTGGTCACTTTCAAAAATGACAGTTCTCCATACAGATCGGAAGTTGTCCACTATTCTTTCGAGTTAAAATAAACGAAGGTTTAATCAAGAACCAATGCTTTCATGGCAGTGAAATTTGCCAATTAGTGTGTTACGGCGATTTAAACACATGTCAGTCTCCATAAATCGAATTAATTGTTCACTGTCCAACTTAATTTTGTTCTTAGATCGACAATTTGCACCCTTTCACTCATACTTACTAAAAGCAAATTTTCATGCAATACTGGTAGTTTTCTGCAGGAAACAAAGATCATACTCTAAGTAAAAGTTTACTGTAATTGTTGAATTAACCACAAGGATGTTAAGAAATCAAATATTAATACGGTGTTTAAATTGATACTAAACACAATAATCACCCGAGATTAAAAAAAAAAACAAAAAACATTGGGAAACGGGTAGATGACCACAAAGAAAAGTCTATGAAGATGAACGACTTGGTTTTCTATTTTTATGTGGGCTTTTATTTACAAACTGTACAACGATATAAAATATAACAACATACAAAAATTGGAACTTTTACTAATGATTGCTGAAAATAACTAAAAATTTTATCAAACATGTTATCCTCTATTTGCAAGTCTTATCCAAAGTCACTGAAGCATGAACTGTAAGTTACGATGTCCAGCTTGTACTTAAAAGTAGCATATACACACAAGTTCTTATAAGTATAATATTTCTACACTAACCCAGTCATACGACAAGAAGAAAAGAGAAAAAGTTATAAATTTTTAGCACACTGACAGGATAACATTTTCCCATTAACGCACTCAAATAGGTTTACTACGACGCTAACATAAAATTTAAAACGGTCAATTCATAAGAGTGCAGTATGACTAGATCACAAAAAGAAATATTTACTTGCTCTCTTATTATGGTACTTGAGATTTTAAGTAAAATACATCGTGATAATAAAATGCTATAATTTTGGAACGGAAAGAAATACCAAACATGATACATTTAATTGAATGATTGCACTCGTAATGCATTTTAATAAAATTAATGTGATGCGCATTTGGCTATAGCGCCCCTTTTAAGCAGTTTTGGCGTTTGTGTGATTACTTGTGTGATTATTGGAATTCGGTGCAATGGGAAATATTTCTTAGCCCGAAATAATTAGCCAATTAATAGGAGCAAACGTCACGGAGAGAAAGTCTTATGGAGTTTCCATGATGCCATGGTCAGTGAGTACCGAATTCAGACCCAATCCGCATGAGTGAACTTGGAGTAATGTAGTACTTAATAAAATCTAATGGTCTACATTGGTGTTGTGACTGCAGGGGCACATTTAAGGTATGAAACCGGTAAATACGCAATAGAATAAATAAGAAGGGACTTGGCAGATACCGTTTATGTCGCCATGGTGGCAAATTTGATATAGTTTTACTGGTGTGATGTGCCTTGAAACCATAGATTGACTGGCCTAGTGGCGTAGTTAAAATATTTCCCTGTGTTAGGGATAGTTGTAGAGTTTCTACGGTGTGCACTGCTGACGGTACGGGAAGTTGGTGTAGAGAAACTGCGGATGTGCGGTTGCTGGTTATTTGGTAAGTTGTGAATAATGTGGTCTTGCATTGATTAGAGTAAAATTTATGTACAGAATTTGGAGTAAACTTACTACTTGTTTACTCTCTCTCTCTCTCTCTCTCTCTCTCTCTCTCTCTCTCTCTCTCTCTCTCTCTCTCTCTCTCTCTCTCTCTCTCTCATCAAGGGTATATGTTGTTGTTGTTTGGGCTTAACGCCATTTTTCAGCACATGATAAGCTATTTATGGCGGCCAGTATTAATGGTTGAGGAAGAAACGGAAATCACCGGAAAGAACCACCGACCCACGAGAAGCTACTGGCAAGCTTTCTCACATTCGCCGAATCCTAGACTCGAACCCACGCAGACAGAGGTGAGATGGCAGTGATCCGTAACGGACAGCGCTTTAGACCACTCGGCCACTCGGGGGCCCCTCATCAAGTATAACAGTTAACAGTCAATAGTCAACGGAGTAATGAAATCAATCTAGTGACAAGGAAAGGGGGTTACATTACTTCAGATTAAAAAGCTTCTGAATATGCGGTGTACTCTAGATCTCTAGAGAGGCTTCACCATGCGCACATGTTGAATTAAATACGGAACTTTTAATATTTCATTTCAATTAGGCTCTCTAATTGGATTTCATGCAAACAGTCAGCGACATCCCGAGTCATAATAAGAAATCAATGGTGATAAACCACCCAATTCACCATAAGAAAATATAGTTAACTGTTTTTATGTGCACCCAAAATTCCTGAGTGGAAGCCACAGGATCTGATTAAGGTCAAAGGTTAAATATAAAAAGGTCACACAAAATATATTGCAATACATTTGAAGCATGATGTCACATAGATACGAAAAAAAGACATAATGAAAACCAAGCAGACAAAGAACGTAAGATATTATTCTGCACAAATGACATTGATTTCAAAAGCAGAGTCAGAGATTCCATAACGACCTGCATTACTATTTTAAGGATTCTCCAGATGTTCCAGATAAACAAATTCCAGATGAAAATTATTTAGTTATTTTGCAGAAGACGTTAATACATTTTTTCTACAGGTACGATACAAACTACTAATATTAGCATTGTACTGAAAAACAAAGACAAATATGTTGTTAATTATTGAAAGGTCAAACTTTATATACTGTTAGATTTAAAGCTCTAATAATTTTTTTGTTGTATACTTATACTTGTATACTGTTGTATACTTTGTTGTATACTGTGATATAAATTGCCTGAGAAGTTAAAGCATTTCAGATATTGGTCTAGATAAATCCAGGCTTCTTCACATAATGCATAGTTTTGTTTTTGCTGTAAGATTTTGCAGCATGTAGCTAACATTATGTTTTGTACAGGTTTTGTAATTTTTCATCAGCTTTTAAAACAAAACTTTGCAATTTTTTTCTTCGCACGTCAGAAACTAGACAAAGCCCAACGTGGCTAACTTGCACAATTTCTTCCATGATGCGTGTTTGAACTAACTTGTAATTTTGATATACTGGTCTTTTCCTTTCTTTAGTCTCAGAATTAGCTTTTTTTGGAATGTCCTGTTAACGTTTTCCAAATTATCCTATAAGTTCAACAAACATTTTTTAATTGTGAATAAAAGTTTTGTTTATTTATAGCGTATCAAAAACCTTTTAATTTGCAACAAATCTGATTTGCACAATGGGGAAGAACTCTCAGTAGTAATTATCATGGGTTACCACTTTTGGAATGTCCTGTTAACATTTTCCAAATTATCCTATAAGTTCAACAAACATCTTTTTTAATTGTGTATAAAAGTTTTGTTTATTTATAGCGTATCAAAAACCTTTTAATTTGCAACAAATCTTATTTGCACAATTGTACATGGGGAAGAACTCTCAGTAGTAATTATCATGGGTTACCTCGCTTTCTGGCATGTTTTGAAGAAAAAATATATAATCATACAAATTGAGAATTATTTCTAACATCGCCGAATTTAATTCATATGCACACATCTTACTTATGATATGAACCTGTTTGCCAAAATTGATACGAATTTGATCCGTTGTTGTTTTGTTGTTTTAAAGCTGATAAATCTATGTTCCATGTTATATCAAACGCAAATCTGAAATATGGCCTCCGAAGTGTTAACTAGTTCATCCCATCGACGCAAGACTCCCTCCGTAATGTGTCGATCTTGCTCACTGTAGATCTTATGCGAGAACTTCGGGATATAAAACTGTATTCCAAGTCGAATCTGAAATAAGGCCTCAAGAATGGTCAAATGTTCACCCAATCAGTTGTAAGAGCACCTTATTAAAAATGGGCTGAACTCACTTATCTTCGAGTAAGTCTAAGATTTTGATGACATAAATCCATGTTCCAAGTCTGATCGATCAAAATCAGATTTGAAGTATTGCTTCGACATTGATAACAAGTTCAGCCAGTAAAATGCAAGCTCGCAGTATGCGTGGATCTCGCACATTATCGAACTGGATCCAGATCCTGATACTATCAGTACAGTACATATTCCAATCTCGATCAAACCAAGAAATGTGGCCTCCAGAG